TCATTTGATAGCCTCACTTTTTTATACACCGATTGAGAAACAAATTCGCTCTCGTTAAATCCTATTTTATGACCTATTTATTAGAACTCTAGGTAACATACGAAATGATGTAACCGGAGAGGCTTTAACCTTTGGTCCTAATTTATTTTTTCTTCGCAACCCCTAATCAGTTGACGGGCCGTGAGAGAATATCGCCACAAAAAGATACGAAAAAGTTTTCGCTGAGTTTCCTTTACATATTCCGGCTTTATATGGGTCTACACCTTGCCTGCTTAAAAATGAAACTGTTGTTCAATTAAGTGTCAGTCAAACTCGGTATGATCTTTACTTGCAAATCCAAATGCAAAGGTTTATTTCGCAGTAGAAAAGCGTGTAAACATCATCGAACAACGCAATAAATTGGCTAATGTGAAACCACGTTTCTTTCACTTTATTTACCATGTATTTATCTCAATTGCACACTCTTGTGAAATTAGCCTCAGACAATTAGTTGCGACCTTTAACAGACTCAACAAGCCAGTATGAAAATATGTTAAGAGAAGCTGAGCTCTACATGTTCTATTTCTTTTTTTCATATTGCCCTGGTATGTGTTAACATTCCATTTCTTTTTTGTTACAGGTAACTTCCAGACATGACTAGGAGATAATTACTTTTCTAGAGAGCAATTCTTTGATACTGTCAGTTATTACTGACTTACTTTGAGTTAAAGACAAAGAACACAGACACTGGTAATGACACAAAAACATTAATCTCTAGCAAGCCTACAAAACAAGAGAGAGGAACTCAGACTCCTTATCAAAATGTGAAACAAGATAAAAACAGCTTTTCTAAAGTAGGGAAAATTGCGTTAGAGAGATTTGTAATTGCAACGTTATATTCAAGCACATTGCATTGTCAAACATCATAATTTACTGAATAATGAACAGTGATTTTGGGGCTTAGCTCAGTTTGTAATGAACTTTGAAAGATATTCTATAACCTTGTATTTTTAAAAGCTTTCATGGAACATAGATGCATTTTATTATACAATGAAAATAGTCTCTGTCTCTCTTTTTACTGATTTCAGTCAATTCCATTTTATTCGCAATGTGAAGTGGGAATCCTATTAAAGACTCATTAAAAGGGGTGAGGAGTTTTTAGCATCCCCTAACAGGTCATCTCCACGATGACGCTGTTTTATTACTTCGGCAGAATCCCTCAGGGTTTTACTTTCTTGTGAAAATCAGAGCTTTTGTTATTTAAACTTCGCTGGGACAACCAAATCTATGAAAATGAAAGGAATAGCAATGACGTCATCGTGTAACCGTACATCAAAAGATAAGCACTGTGATCTGTTTTTTTTTTTTTTTTTTTTTTTTAGCCACGCTTAAAATATCTGTAGATTCAAGGAATTATAACCTGAGCGTTGAGAGCGTGCCAGAGACCGATTTTGGCATGCCCGGCATGACCCAGATTATGGCACGCCCGGCATTCCAGAGAATTTAGCATGCCGGGCATGTCAGAAAATTTGGCAAGCCCGGCATACCGGAGATTTTGCTGGGTATGAATTACTTATTACTAGAACCAAGGCTTCTCGCGGCCTGGGTGAGAAGGTCACCGAACCTCAAATTATGCTTACAGGGCATGCGAAATTCTGTTGCATGCCAATTTCAATGCAAAACCACTCTGGGGCCACCCCCTCTATTACCAGTGAGCAAATCATTGACGATAGGCATGGGAAAAATCCTTGCATGCTAACCAACATTGAAAACGTAGCAGAAATGTCCTCAATTGCTGAGTCATGCCCTAGGGGAGGCTTTAAGGTACAGAATTTCCTGACATGGATAAGAGAATTTTCCGTAAACAGCATGTGATCATGCCGGCTAGGACGTATTGCCTTCGTATTGCCCCTTTTTACCGCTAGCTAGGCTCATTTTTAGGTTCCATGGCCTAAAATGACGAAAAATTCATGCCCCAAATGTAAAAAGTCCAAAAACGTCCTCGAAATTTTAGTTTCCAAGCCGTTTATGGAGTGGGTGAACACGACAGTAAAAATTTTCCTTTTTGTTTTTCTAACGTAGTTGCGGTCTTTTTGGATTCAACTTCGGAAAGTTTTGCCAAGATTTGACAAATTAAATGAAATTGAATAAGATCGATGAAGTTTGACACAGTGCGAATTCACTTCTTAGGTAGTGCGAATTCAGTTCCTCTTTTTTAGTATACTTCTTCTTTTTTTAGGATACTTTTCTATTAGCTTAGTTAAGACTAGTTTTAGGTATTTTTAACATATTTTTATATTTCTTTTTATCTAGGGCCTCTAAGGATATCAGTTTTTGTAACTGTAGCCGGTATCCATGATGTTAAAAGGAAGGGGGGGGGGAAGGGGAGTGAAGGCAACCTCCTTTTCATTTCCGAAAGGAAAAAGTCTCTGGGAACAAAGTTTGCGTGAAAGCAGCCTTGTATTCAAATAAAACAAGTCACGAAACTTACCTGAGTGAAGGGCGCGCGACATTTGCTGTTTGAACAGTAGTTAACAAGCTGCGAAAAAGATACCTGGTTGAGACTTATCAGTCAATAGGCGTACATATAGTAATCGTGTCAACAATACGGGAATTGGTATTAAAAGACATGGGAAATTTCGTGTATCGGCACAATATGTTCCTAGCCTGCTTCACAGAAGGCTCGATTTCCAAATGTTGGAAGAAATCCGGTTGCTGAGTCTCGGCAGTGACGGAACCAAGAGAAGGCTCGGGGAACCGGATTCCCCTACTAATACAACCGTCAGACCTGATGATTATTTTTACTCATTGAAATTTTTTTCTTACAGAAACTGAAATAAACGGCAGCCGAAGGGCGCCATATTACTTACGTACAAAAGATAACTTACGTTGCACTTTGCTTTTTAACCGTGGAATACCAATGAATTTTACTCAGCATGATCAAATTGACGACATCTGAAACCAAATTTACTACTTCTGTTTTAGAGGTGTGTCCTCCACGGAATTTCATTTGTATTGTATGTATCATGACGGCGAGGATCCAGAAAGATCTATTCTTCCTTAATTCCCTGCTTACAAACTTATTGTCACATCAACTTAACCTGAGCTTAGTGGACTCATGATTAGACTTGCCTACAAGTCGAGCTCAATTTTTTTCCCATCTCGAAGCGCGAGCGGTATATTTTTTATATGAGAAGCGAAGAACTTTGAGAAAGTCTAACGCATGATCTATATCGTTCTAAATGGAACAAAAATGACCCGATCCGTCGCCAAAGAGTTAGGTGTTTCGATACAGTTTTTAGGAGACTTTCCCGATACTTTTCAATTGACTTAAAGGGCTTAAAAGTGATATTATCCTTGTCCGATCGCTATAAAATTTTTACCACTGACTGACTTTTGATTGAAGTTTGTCAAAATGTAGTTTTAAGTAAAACCGATATTACTATGGCGACAATAAACTAAACACTTTGAAATCGATGAAAGCCGAATTTTGCGCGATCTAGATCCGACATCAAGAACTTAAAGTGTGGTGTTTAGCAAATAACCTCCATGAGAAGTAAAAAAATTATGTATGTTTGACTTCAAATAAAACGTGAAAATATTTCAAACCCTAGGTTTTCAATAGCCAAGAGAAATTGAAAGTAAAAAAGTTTTAAATATCTCAAGTTAATCTTAGGCAGCGCAGAATGCTGCTAAATAACATACGTTACTGCTGGGGAATTTTGTTGTATTTTCTTTTTTGCAATCCTGAAAACTAACTTATTTTCACACCACCTGTCTAAGTGCAACTTTCTAATTGGCCGTATTTATACTAGAAGACGTCTTAGACGTCCAGACGCATTAAACGTCTGAGGGCCCAGTTGTTCAAAGGCCGATTAGAGCTTAACCCAGGGTTAAATTTAACCCGGCTTTCTTTTTCTTTCTTCAAAAGCATTTTCTCGGATAATTTTCTCTTTTATTCTTAAGAGTATGCAATCATTAACCTGTTGACGGAAAGAATAAAACTGAATTTGCTGCTTAAGCTTTCAAATCCTGAATTCAAATTTCGCACTAACCCTGGGTTATCTTAACCCAACTTTTGAACAACCCGACCCTGACTGTTAAGTGCATGTCCTGTTTTTATACTAGACGTCTTAAACGTCTGAGACGACTCATTTATCTGTTAAGTGCGTCGATCGGACGCACTTAACTTCAGACGTTTTATTCGTCGGACGTTTAATGCGTCTGCCTTATTTCCCGTATTTATACTAGACGTCCAAATCGTGCTAAGACGTCTTAAACGTCTCAGACGTCTAAGACATCCTGTAGTATAAATACGGCCATTTATTGCTTTTCCGGCTGTACGTCTCTAGAACGGCTCGACAGAATTTTTTTTGACCTCATCACATAATCTTCACAATTTATATAATAACGTCTGAAACTTTCATTAAGATTGATTCACTGCAACACCTTGAAATTTCAAGACAAACCTAGCTTACGACAATTGCTACGAACCGGCCAAAAACTCCGCTTTACAAAATTTACTGTTTTGACTTTTAAAGCTAATTTTTCCAAATTAATGCGGACCATACATACCTCCACGTCTAGTAAATTGTCAATGTTTTACATTCAAAAGATGCAAAAGAATTCAAACTGAAATGTACTGTACTAGTCATCGATGGTCCGCATTATTTAATTTGGAAAAATTAGTATAACGTCAAAACAGTATTTCTTCTCCTTTAACACATATTGTCATTTGTCTCTGAGGAAATGAAAATGACTCGCGTGGTACCTATGTTTAAATCAGGTGACAGAGCTCTCTTCAGCAATTACAGACCTATTTCAGTTCTACCCTGCTTTGCAAAGTTCTTGGAGCGAATTGTTACCGACCTCATCATAAATTACCTCAAATATTTCCATGCTCTATGTGAAAACCAATATGGATTCAGGAAAAATCATTCCAAAATTTCTACCGCCTTAAATACACTGTGTCTTGGCATGCGACTGCTTATTATCTTTTTATTAGATTTCTTTCTTTTTACAATTGATCTGTTTTAGCTTATTGGACTTAAGAGACAAAGCTGAAGTTGCCAGTGCTCTTAGAACTGCATTGGGTAGTACAAAGGTATGTTGTGGTTATTCTTCTGATATTGTATGCATAGAACATCAGTAAACTGTATCTATTTTCTGTACCTTACATGCTCTGCTTTCTTGAAACAATGAACTGCCACCTCTTACAGTACATTTTGACTGCAGTCTTGCCAGTGTAGAATTGTGTTGTTTAAGAGATGAGAGATGACCAAACCACAAAACAGAAAAAAAGCATCTCTTTCTGAGCAGGATTTCTTAATGTTATGAAAGATTCTTGGAGGGATCTATACCCAGAGGAAGCAAGTCACTTATGATTCATTGTTGGGATCTCCTTTTGAGCTCTCTTGTGTTTGTTTGTGAAATAAAGGAGAATTTAGCTGATGTTGGATTAATTATTTTCTTATAAATATATGTTCATTCTTTTTTCTTTAGTATGGCAATGAGGATTTCTTATCAGAACTTATTACAAAGGCTTGTGGTGAGTAAAACAAGTGTGCAAACTGTTTCCTTCATGAAGTTTCTAATTACTATAAGTGATCATTATAAAGTGGAAAGTGTACTTTAATTTTTCTCCTGCGGTATCACAAGAGAGATGTAATAGGCCTCAAGTATAGACTGACTACCGTGGTTAATCAGCAATAAACAAATACATTTGTTTTCTGTGCCTTGGTTGAACTTTTTTCCTCTTCAGTGAAAGAGCAGGGAGTTCATTAGGCATCAGAGATTGGAGAAATTCTCCGTTTACTGCTCTGAATTCTCCCACTACGGTTCCTTAGCTATCCTTCGACTTTTTATTATTCAGCGTGGAACCTCTTTCTAAATATTTTCCTCTGATGTTACACCTTTTTCCTGCTACCAGAATTCTTATGGCCAAATTTGTTGTATTGCGCTGAGCATTTGCAAACTTCAGATGGGTTTTTCTGTTCCATCAATCATTTGAGTGGGGGCGGAGTTAATGCAAATCATGACTGGCAACGCTCTCACCCAGCTTGGCCCGCCAAAACAAAACTGAGAATGACTCTAGACTGCTCAAGAATAGCAAAGGAAATCGCGATGATGAGTGGACTTTTTGTAGAGGGCAGGAGGCAGACATTGCTTTGTTCTTGCAAGAGACTTGTAAGAATAAGAAACATCAGAAAAATCTTTGTAGAAAACTAGTCGATTATTGCCTGAAACAGGGCGATCACAAGCAACGAACTTGAAAAACGGAAACAAACAAAGTGGATCGAAATGCACCAATCACAAGTAAACATGTGTTTCCTAAGAGGTCCGCTATGATGATTGATGGAACAGAAAAACCCAAAATTCCTTCTAAGTTTGCAAAATGCGCAGCACAATACAATGAATTTGGCTATAATGAGTGCACTTTTCCTTACTGCCTTGAATATGATTTTGTTAATTATGTGTCTTTCTTTAGTTTCTCTTTACTTCAACCTTGATTGATGATGTAGACTCTTGCAACTTACCGGTACATGATATAATTCCTGGAATTTTCCACGTCACCAATATCAGTTTTTGCCCAGTTTTACATTTTTTAAAATCTTAGTTACTATACTACCATATGGTTTCGGTTAAAAGGTACACTAGCCCGGCCAAAAACCCGGCCAGCCTAGAAAAGGACAGCCAGGCCAGGCTTTCCGGGTTTTTGGCCAGGCTTACCGGGAAAATGCGGCCTGGTAAAGCCTGGCAAGTATGGCCACAGCTAAGCTTTCTTGGCAACCTTGGCCACCAAAGCTTGGCCCTCCTGGCCTTGTTACTTTCAAGGCCAAGCTTTCTCGGCAACCCTGGTCAAAAAAGCCCAGCCTAATCCAGGTCTTAAAGATTCAAGCCAGGCTTGGCCAGGCTTTTTTGAATTTCCAGGCCAAAAATTTATAACATTAAGTGACTGCAACATTAAGCCTCAGAATCTTTGGCCATTTGTTGTCCTATGAAGGACACTCTTTGCTTTACAACTGCTATTTTTTCACAAAGAATGACACATTGCCAGTTTCCACATATAACTAACAAAAAATCTACAAAAGCAGTCATGCATGAGCTTTACAGACCATCCATGCCTCTTGATTACAGACAATGACTGCAATTAAGTCAGTAACAGTGTCTGTAATCAAAGTGACCAGTGACCTTAACAAAACTCTGTGGGCTCAATTGAACTATCTTTGAAGTTACAACCTTAAAAATTGCCTTGATGGTGTCTTGTAAAATACGATGATGTTATGGTTCTACAGACAATTATCTATGTAGCAACTTAAACATTATAATATCACACTTGAACACGAAGATTATAATGTTCCAGTCCATGGAGTCTAAACCTTTGCATGATTATTGTTAGATGTACAGAGTCTTTATATTGATAAAAGAGCTATGTAAATGATTTAAGTCCTTCTCATTTTTTCATGCTAGAGTTGTACTTGGATTTCATGTCGAAGCAATGGCGTGGTCTCGGTGTGTTCAAGATGTCTCCAGTTCAATCAATTTTCCATACCTGTGAGCTGATGTCCAACATGAACAACGTCCACAACACGTTTTTCGTCGCAACTTTGATTTATAATGTAGTCCAGCATTTTCTTTCCCAACTTAAGTTTACCTCTTGCATTTAACACTTCGAATGCGCTGGAATACTCTAATCAACGCTGAAAATAAACGCTCTTTCAGTACCCGAACGACATCATCTCGGCCGCCATGTTTTTTGTTCCCAGGCTTCCACGTGCCTTTCGCACATGCGCGATTTGATTTACTTTGTCACGTGCGACTTTTGAACCAATAGATAAGTGTAAAACGAACTTCTGTTGAATAGTTCAAATTCACGCGGACTTCACAACTTTCTATCATCCATGTTATTTTCGAGACACAGTGATCAGTTGCGAAGTTTGTGTTCACATAAAGCATGTTTCCAAGTCAGTTAACTCAGCTGTATTATGGCATGAAGGTATTGCTCCGGTATGTTTTCTAATAACTTCGCGCAATTAAGCTTAAACTTCAGAGATGAAGTGTCGATCCGGCAGTCGGAAATTCAGTCAGTTGCCTCTACTTCAAGATCGCCTGAGTTTTCTAAGCAACTTCTTGATGTTTTTACACAAATTAAATAAGATATTTCGGGCAAATTGGACGTGGATTTCCGACTGCCTGGCATCCAGTATTTTGAAAACCGTACCCGTGAGTCAAGAATCTTATGCTCATGCGAGTTCGGAGAATTTGTCTACAACAATACGAAACCTTTATTTAGAATCGCTTGCCATTTCTGAACAAACACTAAATACTCTGGTGAGGTTTCGTTGATAATTTCTGTGGATAGTCATCGAAAACATTGAGATTTCACTCTATGCCCAAGCTCGACAGTCGCTTCTACTCTTAACTCAAGGCAATATTTACAATATCTTATGTGCTTAGAGGAAGTAAACAAGCTATGGTCAAAATTTCTGACTGCCGGGTATCTAGTCCTTTGAAAACAGTTCCCTGCTGCCGGGTATCTAGACACTTAATATTTCGAATTTGGAAATTAAAATTTAAGAGGAATGCACAGATTAATGCCATTGATTGATTCCGTAATTGGTTTACTGCAGAAATAACTGTACTCTTTGTTGCAAATCATCAAAGGAATACTCAGAAAATTGTATGTTCTGGCGCTATAAGGTTATATGGCAGACTTGTGAAGACCAATGTTTAGTAAAATAGGAGAAGAAATTAAGCATATTAGTTTCCGATATGCATGCATGCAATGTCTGCTACACGTTAGAAGCAATAAATTTTCCATTTATAATGACTTGAAAGTTGAACTTACATATAAAATTAAAGTACAACCTGTAGGTTTGTTTATTTGAACTTCGATTCATAATTATAAATACACAGTACATCACTGCAATTAAGGTAAAAAACCAGAGCACTAGCACTTAAGCCTGATGTGTGGACCTTCAGTTCAGAAGGCTGTTCGGCTACTTTGAAAGAAACAGTCATTTAGCATTTTTTTTTCATATAAATGATTGTATTATTGGAAGATGTTTATTGAATTTGTCTTTTCGCTAAAATTGAGTGCTAAATTGCTTTTCTGTTACCTAGTATGCCTTAATAAGCAAAAATTGTAAAGAAGTGGCCACTATGTCATGTAATATCACATTATTACAATGATAAAAATATTTCTAAAAAAAAAATTGAAATCCAGATGGTAAATGTATGTGGTGATGTGTATGTTGAGCAAAATAAAATCAATGAGCAATGTAAAATCACTGATCTTGTCATTTGGATTATAAACAAACACTGTCTAGAGATCCCATTAACAGGGTATGTTTTATATTTTTTTCCAATCATGACTAGCTATAGGTTACTTTGCACTATATTTACACTGTATGCGTTGTCTAAGTTTGGTATGCTTAAACTGACTTTTGACTCAGCATTGCTATAATAGTCATAATAATGGTGCAAGTTTTTGTGGCTTCAGGCAGCTTGGGTGGACTATATTCTATAAGACTGACCACTCAAGGTAAACCCTGAACAAGTTTGCATGCCCTGTGATTATGATCTTAGCCAGGCTGGTCAAGGTTTCTTGGCAAGCTTGACCAAATTATTTTTGGCCCCGCCAGCCACAGCGAATAATTTTATTTTAGGCCAAACTTTTCTGCTTTTCCTTGCCAGGCTTTGCCAGTTTTGACACCGGCCAGCCGCGGCCTGTCCAGGCCATGCAGACCATTTATGTTTTTTGCTTTTCCTTCTCAAGTTTGGCCCTGGCCAACCGCGGCCAGGCAAGGCCGGGCTGGCCCTGTGGCCGCGGCTTCCCCGTTTTTTTTTATCCCCTGGCCAACATGGCCAAAGCCAGGCCACAAGCCGGGCTCACCCCAGCTTTCAGGCCGGGCTTTGAGCCTGGTCTACCCCAGTCTGGCCGGGTTCCTGATGCAAGGGTTGGTTACAAGATGTACCCCAAACTTGTCAACGTGATGTTTTCAAGTTACCGTAACTAGCTTAAAATTGAACTAAAATACCTGGTTATAAGGCAAACCGAGATTTTGGGGTTATGTTGGAGTCTCCAAGGGGGGCCACTTTTGGCATCCAATTTGAATGTTTGCCACATTCTGGATATCGCAGCCCTCTGGTGATTTTTGTTATTTTTGCTATTGCATGCATTTGTGGACATAAGTGGAGAACTTACTTTCCAGTTTTGCTTATTACGATCCTTCACCAGTGTGAACAAAATCATATTTTTTCCCTGAACCTTTTCCCATCTGGGTATTTTCTCTTTCCTTTTTTATTCCTTTATGTAAGTTAATATAAAATTTATATACATTCTAACTAAGCCTGGGAAAACAGCAGACATTTGGTGACACTACCGCTAGTTTCCCTGCCAAATGACGTCTGAGAAACGGGCGCAGAAATTCCACACTGATGATGCATCACTACCCAGATCTGGGTATTTCTTCTGATTGGTTGAATCAAATTTCCAATGCAGTACAACCAATCAGAAGCACTACCCAGATCAGGGTAGTGACGCGTCATCAGTATGTAATTTCTGCGCTTGTTTCTCAGACGTCATTTGGCAGTGGTAGCATCGCCAAATGTTGGCTGTTTTCTCAAGCTAATCCAATTTGTAGTTGCCCAATGAAGTAAAATTCCTGCACATAAGTACAAAATAAGAGAGCATTATCTAAAAACACAGTTGGAAACACCACAAATTGATCAAGTCTACAAAGTGGAAATGAAAGTGCTTTTAATTAAGGGGCTAGCTAGTTCAGGACAAATACTTATCATTTTGTTGTTGCTTTGGTTCTCAGTCTCCATCCTGCCACAGAAAGCTACATTTAATGAAGATAATGTGAGAGTAGCTAAGATTTTGGTAAGTTTGAAAAGATCTGAGGAAAAACCATGTTAAGCCCTTCACCATTCCTTACATTATGTTAGGTTAGGGTAGGTTAACACTCCAAGTTGTGGCTGAGTCAGAGTCCTAATCAGAAGCACAAGCATTAGGAAGTCGTAACCTTGAGTTTTGATTGTACTCATGGCTGTATTCCCTAGGATCTTGTGAAAACCAGATTGTCAGGGTCGAAGAGCAGAATCAAAAGAATGCGTATTGATTTTTTCTTCCCTCTTTTACTTATAAATGAAGGGGAAAACACGTTAAATTATGCATAATAATATACATAATTTGAAAGAAAAGAATCTCAGAAGATGAGGAAGTCTCAAGAAGTCACTTCCTCTATACATTAGATAGTCATTAAAAGAGAAAAGAAAAAAAAACTTATAATAAAGTAATTTACAAATGTATGGAAAATACTAAAAGAAAGTTAATCGTCTAATAATTAGTAATAAATTACAAACGATTAATTGAGAATTCTTTAAAATAATTTAATATGATTTAAGTAAACGTTTAAAGGTTCCTATGTTATTTGATCTAATTATTGAGTGAGTTAAGGAGTTCCACATTGTGTAGTCACTATAGCCCTAGGAGAGGTTGAAGGGAAATTGAGGTGGAGGTGTACCACCTAGGCTCATATGCAACAGCATGTACAAGTTATCAGAAAACTTTCATTTTAACTATATCTTATTTATGTATTATGATAATACCTCATATGCAAATGAGACTACCTTAATAAGATTGTTGTTGTCGTGTTAGGGTTCTGGTATTCATAGTTCAGAGGTTGTTCAAGGAATGGTTTTCAAGCGAGAGGTTGAAGGTGATATTAAAGCACTTAAGGATGCCAAAATTGTAGCATTTTCTTGTCCACTGGATTCCATCATCCATGGCAACAGAAACTAAGGTGAGATGAGTTACTAGATAAAAAAATGTTTATAGAATCTGCAGAGATCCAAGGAATTGGGTCAAATTTGCAGGCATCTAAGCATGACCACATCATGAAGTGAACAAACATTTGATGTTTTCAGCCTTTTATCACTTTTTAAATAATAAAGGTCTGTAAATCAGACATGTTGATGGTTTTTGGATATAAGTAGTTTGCAAATGCAGTTGTATTTCCAGTTGTCACTTATCTCAGCCCAAAAAGTGATGTGTGCTCATAATTTTTATGCCACAGAAATTGTTTTGGGCTCCCACTTGCAGAGGTTACTTTTTGGTGAGAAAGAAGGGACAACTTAAAATATTTCTGCATTTGGTGGCTAGGTTAATTATTTACCACATTCAAAGGGACAATGTCTAAATAATTTCAATATTTCAGATGCCTTTGAAAATATATATAATTGTGCTAAACATGTCCTGACGTTGGACAAAAAAACCCAGCTACTTCGCTCAGAGAAGTTGGCTAATGCTGCCCGCCCGCCCCCCCCCCCTAAAAAAAATCAATGAAACAACTTTCAAACATTGTTGATAAAGTCAATTACTCTAGTCAAACCAGTTGCCTTGTCTAAGCTAGCCCCTCACATAGATCAAACACATTCACTTCAGAAATGAAAAGAGAGCAAAATGCAATGCGAGTTTAAGGGGAAAATTGGAGGGTTAAATGGTTGGAAGTGAGAAAATGGATAAACAGATGAAACACAGGTCAAAGACAGAGGATGTCTTGATAACTAAAATTATCAAAATGCTGCTCCTTACCTTTAGTATGCTGAATTATTTGCTCTCAACTTGTTTAGGGTACAGTGTTGATCAGAAATGCAGCAGAGTTAAAAGGCTTCAGCAAGGGAGAGGAAGAACACTTAGAAAAGGTAACCTCCAGAATCTTTTGCAGCCGTCATAGACAGATGAAGCTGATTTCAAGCTGATTTCTAAGCTGATTGCTTTCTTTGTGTCACATAAATCATGCTGCTTTTTGCGTGATCTTCCTGCATGAATTTATCTTGTGGCAGTTGTTGGAGTATTGTCATCAGGTGCCTGTATGAGCAAGGCTTTTGATTCACTTAGCTTTCAGTTGGTCATAAACGAACTACACACCATAATTTTTAGGGAGTTATTCTAACTCCAAAAATGGAATAAAAATCTTAGGTACAGGATGTTATGATATCTAGAACTTTCTGGAATTCATCTACATTTGCTTTTTAGATAAGAACGTTCTAGAGTGTCAGTTTGCTAATCTCTATTATTATACCAAACGTTATGTAAGTCTCTATAAACAGACTGATTATGTATTTGTTTGGAACATTCTAGAAACCCCCCTCTTTAAGGTATATAAGTAACCCCTAGACTAGTTTTTTCTGTCTGTTAGTATGTCATTAGCTCTATGAGTGTAACCTACTTCTGAAGAGATTAAAGTTTGTGTTCTACGAGACCTAGTCGACTCAACGTTCCCCATTGACTGACAAAACTCAGGATAACCCCTTTTTGGGGGTTACTTTAACTCCTAATTTAACTCCGAGTTTGGGGTCATTTTTACTCCTAAAAAGAGTTCTTTTTACTCCCAGTCCGGAGTTAAAATAACTCCGAAATGGAGTTATTTTTACTCCTTAAATGGGTTGTTTTACCCCTTTTGGAGTTAATTTAACTCTGAAAGTGGAGTAAAAAAATTTTAGGTACAGGATGCTCCTTTTATGGGGTTATTTTAACTCCTCAATTTCTGGGGTGATTTTTACTCCTGAAAAAGAGTTCTTTAAACTCCTTTGTGGAGTTAAAATAACTCCCCCCAAAATAACTCCACTGTAAGGAGTTAAATTAGCCCCACTAGAGGAGTTATTATAACTCCTTGAAAATTACTGTGCAGGCTTACTAATTCTTGGATGAAAGTGTACAAGCCATAGAGAAGGGGTACTGAGACCTGTGACTGGGTGAAGGTAAAAATAGGATTTTCTCAGGGGTGCACATTTGGACCACTTATGTGGAATTTCCTTTCAGAACGATGTGCCTAACGTAATATTAGAATCTAATGCTTCAAAGTTAGTGGATGTCCATCAGGTCTACGGAGCAAAGAAAACAACTGAGACTGTAGAAATACGATAATGAGAGGATAAGAAAGTGGCACCAAGAAAAGCTATTGAGTTAAGTCATTTACAATTAAGATCAAGCTATGGTTGTGTAAAATGACTGAAATTCATAGGAAAATAGGAAAGTTGATCTAGGCATTTGAGGTGACAAAGTGAAACAGACACAGTCCATTAAAATCATTTGTGTAATCTTGACAATAATTATAGAGATGCATGTTAGAAATACAGTAGTTAGGATGGTCTAACCTAAATGTATTTTCTTGTAGCAAATCAAGGCAATTGTCGATACTGGTTTTAACTGTATTGTAACTGGTGGCAAGGTCGCTGAGATGGCCCTTCACTTTTGTAACAAGTATAACATTTTAGTTGTCAGGTGTGTACAACTTCTTTTGAGTTATTATCCTGAAGCACAATGGACTCATGTTGATATCATTGTTTGCAGGCTAAATTCAAAGTTTGATTTGAGAAGACTCTGTCGATCAGTTGGAGCTACAATACTTCCCAAATTTGTAAGTTTGCATAATAGCTTTTTTTTATTCCCCCACCATTGGCTACCTCGATTTTCAGCCACTGATCTAAAAATAAGTCCGAGACTGAAATCAAGAGAGCAGCGGAAGTTGAACCTACCAAGTTACATCAGAATGAAAATAGTCTTCGGGCAAGTTCCCCATTTGAGAAGAGTGCTGCTCCAATCTTTGGCAGCTTGCTCACCCGTTACTTTCAATTGACGTTATTTTTCTTGTATGAAACTGGTTTCTTGTAGGGGGTGCTAAGTAAAGTAGTGGTAGCAGTAGCACAGTAGCAGTAGCAGTAGCAGTAGCAAAGCAGCAATAGCAGTAGCAGTAGCACAGTAGCAGTAGTAGTAGCAGCAGTAACAGTAGTAATTATAATATCCCAGTAAGAAGAATTATCATTCAACAAGCAGCGTTAATCATTTTGTTGAACTGAGCTTAGTCTTCGAGGTCTTGTGAAAAATAGGGGGAAGACAGCACTAAAAATCATTGGTTACTGAATACTTTTGTCTCCCATCATTCCAGACAACTCCCACATCAGAGGAGATAGGTCCCTGTGATGAAATCAAGGTGTCAGAGATTGGTGACACTTCGGTTACTATTTTTAAGTAAGGTACTAAACTACTTAATCACTCATTGGTTGATTGATTTGCAAAAACAAGAAGAAATTTTAGGTTTACTTGTAGGTATAGTGAAGTAGATTATCCTTGCAATCGAGAGATGATAAAGTTTAAGAGAATGAATCTCTCCTATTGGCCTTACATGATGATGCCGATTGATTTCGATTCGCCCGATGCGTATTTGTCGTCTTTAAACCTGAGGAAAGAAATAAGCGTGAAAATACAGTGAATGTACATATGGGATCCAAGCTAAACTAAAATATCATCTCGGATAAGTATGTACACGGTGTCTTTGAGTGTTGTATCTCATCGGGCGAATCGACTTACGTCCGGCGGAACGCTGTCAGGCGAATTGACTTTCGGGCGAAAGGACCGCAATTTATACATTCATACCCACGCAAAAGGAGCATCTCAAGTCTCGCCACCAGTCCTACTCATTTAATCTGCTGTAATCTTGTGTCTTAGAGCGCGAGGAGACGGCTGTATCTACTGTTGTAATCCGGGGTTCCACCGAGAATATCATGGACGATATTGAGCGAGCTGTTGATGATGGAGTGAACACGTTTAAAGCGCTTACCCGCGATGATCGCTTTGTACCAGGAGCTGGTGCCACGGAAATTGAACTGGCTAAGCTGATATCCAGCTTTGGAGAGGTATGTTGAGTTGCAGGTCTTAACATATATGTATCAGCGTCACTCAGCTTTTGGATTCAAAGTGGTTAAGGCTTGGCAATTATATCTGTGAAACGTTTAACTTTACTGCACACGCTTTTCCTTTGTTACAAAGAAAGATTTTAAAAGCCTGCTATTGGTTTCCCAACTACAGTTGAACCTCCATGTGTGAAAAAGGCGCAGAAAAGGGGTTGGGGGAGGGGGGAAACACGAAAGGTAAAAAATCCCCACTCCCCATTTTCCTCCCTACCCGGTGCCCGCCCTTTAGACGCCTACAAGCAGGTGACGTGCGCCCCTTCTCCTAAGCGACAAGTTTGGATGTTGGCTTTGAAGAGTCTTGACCGTGTGAACTTGTATTGCTGATAAGCCGTTAACTGATTCCTGTTTTCGGTCAGACTTGTGCAGGCCTTGAACAATATGCCATCGACAAATTTGCCGAATCCTTGGAGGTCATTCCCAGGACCCTCGCGGAAAATGCTGGCGTGAAACCCACAGAGTTGATATCTAAACTCAAAGCTGCCCACCAGGGTGGGGACAAAAATGCTGGCTTTGATAACGAGGTATAGTTGAAGTACCAAATAACGTAATGTAAAATTGGATTTCAACACGGAGGTACTGAGCAGAGAAAAAGAACTGACATAGCTTGAAAATCTTAGGCAGTCGACACAAAAATAAATAAATGTTAGATAATACTAAAAATTTTTAATTCGATTTAAAAAAGAGAAGAAATCCAGATAAGAATATGCTTAATATAGTGCACAAGCTCAAAATTATATAGCTAAAAAATATATATTTACCAATCCTGAATCCAGTTGTTTGAAAAAGTTTTGTTGTTTTGTTGCCGACCGTATTTGCTCTGTTAAATTGTTCCGCTCTTTGGGTCACCGTTTGTAAATGTGTTAGCGTAGAATCTTGGGATTTTTTGTTTTGACCCTTTTATTTTACAGTGGAAACATGATTTTCAAACGCCTTTTTGGGAAAAGCTTATTAGACCGAATTATCAAGAGGTTCGAAAAATCGGGGATGAAATAGGCCATTTCCGAGGGGGGATAAGTTCTAATCTAACGTGGTGACACTAACATATCTGATCTGACATAACTTTGGATGTGGTTTTTCTTAGGGTGGTGGAGCTGCAGTGAAAGACGCAGTAAAAGCAGGAATCTTAGACTTGTATCTTGTAAAGCACTGGGCTATCAAGTTCGCCACTGATGCAGCTGTTACAGTACTTAGAGTGGATCAGGTAAGGGAACACATTTGTGTCGTGCCGTAGCTTCTCACCAAATTCTCGTCTTTAAATCCAGTTCATACAATTATCTTTGTCATGAGTAAGACCTTGAGTATATAAATGTTAAGTGTTTGTCTCATAGAGTTCATTAGCAACCTTTAAAATGGATTATGGTGACGCGTTAGATTTTTAATCTTGTTATATTCCCAAGATTTTCCACTTTTTCTGCTGCTGGCCAGAACATGAGACGTAAGAGATATAATTGGCGTTGCAACTGATCATCTTAAGAGCCGCTTGTCGATCTTGTATTGGTAGTCCAATCCAGGAGTCCTCATTTTTTACAACCCCAACTCAGACATTGGTTATACGCTTTATAAGAGAGGAGAAGCGATGACGTCACAAAAAGTAGGATTGGTGAAAGGGGTTGGTTGACATGCCCAGAAAGAAAAAGGTAAAAAATGTCCACTTGCTAAAAATCAGCTTGTTAGTGCAAATTGGTGGTAAGATGTAAGCATCGTTATGCGCCGTTGACTCCATTTAAATCTTTCTACAGTATGCGAGGCTAATTTTAGAAGGATTTGTATGGAGTCATCAGAGCATAGCGGTGCTTATATCACCCCCATCAAATTTTGCACTTGTAGCTTGATTTTTAGAAAATTGGGCATTCTTCATATTGTTCTTTATGAATATGCCAGCCAATCCCATAATTTCACAAATTTGAATTTTTTAACGTCACACCTCTTCACTCTATTCTGGAAAAAATCAGATGTAAACTAACGGGAAATTTTATTGGGGAACGCTTCCATAATGGTGCAAGTAACGAAACTATTATCCTTCAAATATGTATTCACAAGTTAGTTTTTTAAACTGTGAAGTAACCAATGGATGTTGTAATTATGCCCTTGCATTTTCAGATTATCATGTCCAAACCGGCGGGAGGACCAAAGCCTAAAGACAATCCAAACTGGGATGAAGATTGAGCACTAAAGTGTTGTTACGTCAAGCAATAACTGAATGATCTGTTAACCTGCTTCCTGGTCTGGATTAACGTGTGTTGTTGAACTTTGCAGAATTAATCCTAGGGCACCAAATGACAGTGACATTTTGGTGACTGAGAGCCGTTTTACTCTCGGCAACGTTACTAACTACTTGCCTTGCAATAGTCCTCGTTAGCTCGTTTGTTCTGTTTTCCCAATGCAGGTCTTGTGGTAATACTCTAGAGAACTGTTCATTCAAGTTTCGTCTTATTCCAGTGCATATTTGCGCATGATTTATGAAAGGACGAAGGAGCAAATTCCCCGAGACTTTCATTGGGAAAACAGAACATAGAAGCTAAAGAGGTCTCTTCTCTTAAAACCTGTCGGGAATAGTATTAAAGTTTTGGCGAGAGCCATGCTGAAGAAAGTTGTAGCTCCCTGGTAGCTCTCTCTAGGCTCCTGTTTACTCATAGGACCATGCTCGTTCTTAGCGCCCATCGGCAGTTGTTTTACTGAACCAGTTGATGAAAGAGTGACCGTCTGAGCACAAGATGATTAAAGCGCTAGCAGTGTTTGCAATCTCAGTAACGTAGTGACCATTATCATACAAAGTATCCAATACTAAAACAAGGTCGTAATTTGGTGTCGCACTTCTTACCTTACAATTATTAGGTAGCTTAAGCAACGGTGTTTTTGAGCGACGCACGTCAACCGGAAGTGCATCATTGGGCAGTGGTTTGGTTGAAACTCGCGGATTAATCGTCTTTATAAGAGAAAAGAAACTTGACAATACAAATTTGTTAGTGTCAAGGCATAAAAAAAGAGAGAAAGCCTCACTTCTGGTTGACGTGCGCCGCTCAAACACGTCTTTGCTTAATTAAGCTCACTAAGTGGCGTTGAGTCGTCCCTTTTCCTTACACCTCCTGTCGCGTACATGTAGTTCGAAATCACCACTTTAGAAACGAGAAAACTGGGCCGAGTTAACTTTCGCAAAGACTTTTGGCGGGAATGTTACTATGGACAGAGAAAACAAATTGGCCAATAGCTGATCGGCGCTTCCCCTGTAACGAACTGTGGGACGCATTACGGCTCCAGTTTGTTTCTCGTATATGAAGTGACGAATAAAGCTTCAGCACCTTTGAAAAATTGCAATGCATGTTAAAGTTATCATCAGCCAGTGTAACAGGTGCGTATCAGAACAGCAGGTTCTACCAATAAATACACAGATTGAAAAACTGGTTTTCATGTTCATTACCGAGTGAGAGAATCAAGTATGATGAGGATAAATAAATGGTAAATACAAGTAACTGCAGAAGTCAATGGGATGATCCACGGATGCGAAAGGGTTCTCTTTGCGTCATCGCGGGTGTCGTGATCAAATAATCACAATGAAACGTAAAGTGACTTTATTAGTAACGATTGCACTGCTGTCGTGGTTTTTACAGATTACTGAAGACAGCTTTGGTGCTCCTTCGTAAATAACTCAATCGGGGCAATAGCAGGGCTGTATCCTCTGACCTTGGCCGACAGATATTAAGGCCCCATTTATATGGAGGAAAGTCTCCCGGGAAGAGGGTCCGCTTGAGCAAGACAAAGTGTTTAGATGGAGAACTGTTGGCCCGGCTGAGAGGGTGTCCCTACCGTCACAAAAGGGTGACTCTACTGGGCGGATCGCTCTTCTAACCGAGCCAAGTTTTTGTTTTTCGTGTAAACGGTTCGCCAAGTTTTGTAAGGAAATGTATGAAAAGATAGCTCGCCTAAGGAAGCTCGGGTAGGCGAGTGACCCTTCTATCCGCCATAATAAAAGCTCTGATCACTGTGTTATATCGTGCCTCAACACATCTCAAAATACGATTGACATATATCTCATTCCCAGCTATCAATCACTTATATCAGGGTGTCCAGTTCCTATTTTTTCCTATTTTCTCCTATTTTTAAACTAAAACCTCCTATTTTTCCTATTTTTTAGTAGGCAGGCCAAATTTTGTGACAAATTTCAAAATGAAATCATAGTTGAATGTGTTTTAGAGCGACATTTATCACAACGCAAGTAGTATGTTGACTTTGATGTTCTAATATTAGCAAAAATAACAGTTACATTTCTTCTTTCCATGGCCTCTATTGCCCATCAGAGTTCTGTTAACAACATTGTTATATTGTTACTTTTTGTATAATTTTCCGGTGTGAATATTAGTAAAATCCAGCTAGTGGTTTATTATCAATGCTGCGTTGTGACTGGTTGAGCTACTACTAGGCTATATGTTATAGCCCACTAGTAACGGTTTTGAGGGACAGTGGCGTGAGGTAAATAAGGGTACGAAACAAGGTAGTGCCAGTGGGCCATATCTTTTTAACGTGTTTATTAATGACTTAGAAATCGATCTAGAAGGTCGCCCAGCCTTGTTTAAATATGCTGATGATTCTACAATTATCGTCCCTTTTTGGGGAAACGGCCAGGGTCGCACTGACTTGGTGGATCAGTTTCTTAGCTGGTCCAGCCGCAATCGCATGACATGCAATCCAACAAAATGCAAGGAGATTATTTTCCGTAAGAAAGGTTTCAGTCAGGACATCGCGCCAGTTAGTAATATACCGCAGTGCGCAGAGTTATCCATATTAGGTGTTAGTTTCCAACAAAATTGTAAATACAGTAGTCACGTGCGCGCGAAGGTAATTAAGGCGAACAAGTCCTTATTCGTATTAGGATCCTTACGTAAGGAAGGAATGTCCCAGGAGGAAGTAGATCACCTTTTTAACGCAATAGTTTTACCAAATTTTTCTTACGCTCTGCCGGTTTATGGTGCCTCAGATTCTGACCTTTCTGTAATACAGAATTTTTTAGACCGGTGTATGAAAAGGAAGTTTATGTCCAAGAATGTAAATATCAGGGACTTGCTAGAGAAGGCGGACAAGACACTCTACAAAAAAAGATCGAATGACCCCGAATGTCCGTTCTTCCAGTTTTTACCTAAGGAAAAGAACACAAGGTACAATCTTAGAAATACGTCAGTCTCTGTCCCTAGAATCTACACTGACAGGTTTAAGAACGTTTTTAGTAACAGAATAATTTTTATATATGATATGTAAATAGTTTTTTGAGTTTATATTGTAACTTAGGATACGTGATTTTATCTTAAGAAATCAAGATTATTATTATTAGTAGTAGCAGCAGCAGCAGCAGCAGCAGCAGCAGCAGCAGCAGCAGCAGCAGCAGCAGCAGCAGCAGCAGCAGCAGCAGCAGCAGCAGCAGCAGCAGCAGCAGCAGCAGCAGCAGCAGCAGCAGCAGCAGCAGCAGCAGCAGCAGCAGCAGCAGCAGCAGCAGCAGCAGCAGCAGCAGCAGCAGCAGCAGCAGCAGCAGCAGCAGCAGCAGCAGCAGCAGCAGCAGCAGCAGCAGCAGCAGCAGCAGCAGCAGCAGCAGCAGCAGCAGCAGCAGCAGCAGCAGCAGCAGCAGCAGCAGCAGCAGCAGCAGCAGCAGCAGCAGCAGCAGCAGCAGCAGCAGCAGCAGCAGCAGCAGCAGCAGCAGCAGCAGCAGCAGCAGCAGCAGCAGCAGCAGCAGCAGCAGCAGCAGCAGCAGCAGCAGCAGCAGCAGCAGCAGCAGCAGCAGCAGCAGCAGCAGCAGCAGCAGCAGCAGCAGCAGCAGCAGCAGCAGTAGTAGTAGTAGTAGTAGTAGTAGTAGCGAAAAGCGCGGGGTTTTGGCGGCAAAAAAGGATTAGTCTAGCTTTAACTAGCTAAAAGTTTTTTATTCTCGATATTTTTGACCAACTAGTTGGATTTTACTGAAACATTATTCCTCTCGCCCTCATAGCCTGTGAGTCGATAGCCCATTCCGGCTCCAGGAATAATTGTTAAATATTGTGCATAGCCCACTGAAACTGCATTTCAGTATCTGTACATGTTATATTTTATTTTGAAGTCTTGCTCGCTTTTATGTTCATCTTTGAAACTAAAAACAGGATCAAGTTGTCCTCTCACAACACAGGTCAGACAATTCATTCAATCAGCTTCTTGGTTTAAAAAACCAGTCACTTTGACCAGCTGGAGTCTGTATGCTACATGAAAACGGAACAGACTCATGTTTAGTTTACGGCACTAGCTCTCTTGGTGAGCTTTTGTTAACAGCTATACCTACGCAACCAACTGACGAAGGATCCAATATTTTGGTTCCAAAACTGGTCTTGTAGTCATAGCTAAGCAGGAGTGTTACGTTCTTCTTAGAACATTGACACACTTACAGTCTGGTACCAAATAGATCAGTGTCACTTTGCATACCCTGCAGAAAGCCTGGCTCCGTACTTAAACTACAGTCAAACCTGTGTACAACGGTCACCTTTGGGAAATGGCAAGCTGACCGTTATATACAGGGTGACTACTATTATTATACTATATACAGGTCAACTTTGCACAAAATATAAGGCAACTGAAAATTTTGGGAAGTTGTCCAGTGACTGTAATATACAGGGTGACCACCATATACAGCGCTCTTACATAGAGGTTTGAACGGTATGCTGTCTTTTGACTCAAACAAGCATATTCTCAACCAGCTACCGATTGCAGATTAATGGTAGGAAAGCGTTTCACAGGACCTTTTAGTTCAATATTCTTCAATGACAACACAATCGTAAGAAATTTCTATCAAAGAAATTTTAACTCTTCGAAGCTTTTCAAAGATTTGCAGCCAACTTAAAGGGAATTGCATATGATCACCTTTGATTAAAGAATCACGCTTGACCTGTAGTCAAGCATATCATTCTGATTACAGCGTAACTGAGCCAACAAACTATTACATTACTGATCATTTTCACTTCTTCTTAGCCGCGAAAGTTGATCTTAACCCTGCGAACTTAGAAGCTGAGGACTCGTACCTTTTATTATAACCGGATGAGGTGTAGGGAGGCTATCTATGTCGACGAAAGTACTATTGATTTTCCTATTTTTCTCCTATTTTTTAATACAAAGTTTTCTATTTTTCCTATTTTCTGAATCCCGAGTTTCCTATTTTCCTA